AAAAAAAAAAAAAGAAAGAAAGTAGAGGTGGATTTTTATGTCTGCATCTATATATCTCTGATTTAGAAAAAGAAAGAAAAAGTAACAGGTTGAACCATAGCACTGAGTTTGAAATGTGGAAGTTGTTTTTTTTTTAATTCAGTGAGCCAACATATAGTACATCGTTAGTTTCAGATGTCGTGTTTGAAACGTAAAACTCTGAGTACTTGAAACGTCCTGTCAGTGCAGAACGAATTTGGTGGGAAGGCTTTTGCTTGCTGGCTACCTTTCACTTTATCTATAAGGCGGTGAAGAGTAACAAGTGATACTATACAACTCATGCATTGGGAAAACAAGGTGAAGGATGTTAGATTATTAACAATCCATTTGTTTGTGTACGTGTTTGAGATACTTTGACTTCTCAGTGTGAGACATAATTAAGAAGTTCCCATAATCTTTCTTTAGTTCTTTTTTTAAAATTCAGTGACTAGAATCGCAGCAACATACAATAGTCCAAAATAAACAGCAAGAAACTCCCTGACCAGAAGTTGGGATAAAAGTTGAAACTGGCAACATTTTAAGAATATCCTTGAATAGAATTCTTTCTGTAGAATGGGTAAGATAATAAACATAAGACAATAAACAAGCAAGATAAATCTTTTGAAGATATGATTACCTTTCAAAGTCCAAAGCATAATTTCCTATACTCAGAGATGGTATATGTCACATAAGATGTCACACCAGTGGTGGTCGTAGTCCATTGCTTACATTAGCATTCTTGGCAAATGTCCCTTTCTGTAACACGTTCAGAAAATTTAACATCATCAGTGTATTTTTTGCATGGTTGCAGCATGCAATAATTCTCATTTGGAAATATGGGAACCTACCCATATCTCATGATAACATTCTCCAATTTAATAATCCAAAGCATTCTGGAGAATATATTTTAGATTAGAGAAATTCTTATTCTGTGCATTTCTAACTTTTGGAAAAATCCTTAAGCAAGAGGACACTGAAAATTAAATCATAATACAACTGAAAACAACAATGAGATAGCACTACATATCTATTAGAATGGCCAAAATCCAGATGACTGACAGCACCAAATGCTGATGAGAATGTGGGGCAACAGGAACTCTCGTTCACTGTTGGCAGGAATGCAAAATGGTGCAGCCGCTCTGGAAGACAATTCGGCGGTTTCTTACAAAACTACACTCTCACCATGTGATCCAGCAATCACACTCCTTGGTATTTTACTCATGGGAGTTGAAAACTTATGTCCACACAAAAAACCTGCACACAGATGTTTAGAGCAGCTTTATTCATAATTGCCTAAACTGGAAAGCAACCAAAATGCCTTTCAGTAGGTGAATGGATAAACTGTGGTTCATCCAAACAGTGGAATATTGTTCAGAGCTAAAAGGAAATGAGCTATCAGGGCATAAAAAAACATGGAGGGACCTTAAATAACATCTTCCTATTGACTGAAAGAAGCCGATCTGAAAAGGCTACATGCTGTATGATTCCAACTGTGTGATACTCTGGGAAAGGCAAAACTATGGAGACAGTGAAAAGATTAGTTTTTGCCAGAGGCTAAGAGGAAGGAGGGATGAATAGATGAAGCACAGAGGATTTTCAGGCAGTCAAACTATTCACTATGATACTATAATGGTAGACACATCATTATACATTTGTTCAAATACATGGAATGTCCAAAACCAAGGGTGAAGCCTAGTGTAAACCATGGACTATAGGTGATAATAATGTGCCAATGTAGGTTTATCACTTGTAAAATATGAATGTCAAATGCAAAAAAAAATTACACTTCAATAAAGTTAATGTGTTAAAAAATTGAATCATAATGTCAAGAAATATATACTGGGATCTGGATGATATGGTTCTTAATGACACAGCCCAGTTCACCACTTTGGGCAGAAGATGCTTATTTTATGACATCTTGATCTCACAGAAATATGGGTGGGTTGACTCTGTGCCTGAGTAAATAAGTCTCTGGCAAGGAGAAGGTTTTTAGGCATTCATGCCTTAGCCTCCCCACCAAACAGGGATTAAAAGTGGTGCTTTGCTTTGGTACTAGTTGGTACTTTCCAGGATCCTCACTCTTGCATAGCACATCAGATGCTCCAACCCTGAGCTACCTCCCATCACCTCTTTCCAGGGATCTCTCTAGTAGAAACATACATATTTCATTATTTAAAGTATCTTTTTCCTGGCTAAATTTCTGCCTCCAAAGGCTTAAACCCTTCATGGTACAAGCACTGTTTCTTCTAAAATGGCATCTTGTCATCTTTAACTTACTCATTGGCTTGCTGCACAAAGCCTGCTTTTTCCATATTGTTTCCTTGGAATGTAACTGTCCTGTTGTGTTGTGTTTAAAAGATTTTTTAAGATTTTATTTATTGGGGGGAGGCAGAGGGAGAAGGAGAGCAAAAATCTCAAGCAGACTCCCTGCTGAGCTCAGACCCTGCTGCGGGCCTCGATCTCATGACCCTGAGATCATGACCTGAGCCAAAATGAAGAGTCAGACATTTAACCAGCTGAGTCAGCCAAGTGCCTCATAACTGTCCAGTTTTTAACCAGTTAATGCAAGTCACTCTCTCGGATTTCCTAGTTCTCTCCAGTAGCTGCTGCAGGATGAACAGCTAGTCCTTTGTATGGCCTTCTATTATAGTAACCCAAGCCATCTTCAAAAGAGACAACTTTATACTAAGTGGTAATTGCATGAATGAAAAAAATAACATATCAGGAAGATGGCTATTTATTTTTTTTTTACTGAAGTGTATTTGACGTACAGTGTTATATTAGTTTCAAGTGTACAGTGTAGTGATTCAACAGTTCTGTGCATTACTCAGTACTCACCACGATAAGCGTAGTCACCATCTGTCACTATATAGTGTTATTATAATGTTGACTCTGTTCCCTGTGCTATACTTTTCATCACTGTGACTGACTTATTTTAGATATGGACGTGTGTGGCCTTTCCTGAATGTTGAGATGGTTTACCCTACCATGGCATGACACTGCTTCCCAATATTCTTGGTCTTAATTAAATACTCAAAAAAGACAGTAATAATTTTTTCTCCCTTTGAAACTGTTGTGCTTATTTGATAAGTTTAGGATCTCAAGATGAATTTATTTCCTCTTAGATACTGGGCTTAAGATTATGTATCACTGTCACCAACCGAGACATGAACCTCAGTTGTGAACATGTTTACTTTCTGTCATAAATATAGTTGGCTAAGAGTCATCCATATTTTCACATCATGCAGACAAAAAGAGCACGTATCAGCATTAAAGATAAGAATTTTTTTAATGTACAAAACCAACTGTAAAGAAATAAGACAATTTAGTACATTTTCGTACTTTGAACTTCTGTTATCATAAACTGTTTATTTAAACATTTTTCATGTTATAAGTAACTACCTTAATATGACCCTGAATTTCTCCACAAACCTGAGTGGAACATGGCTTTCTGATGCATCAGAAATCCTTACTTTGGAATATGTTCTTTCATTGATCCACTCAGTTACTTCTGAAATTTTAATCCCTGTAGTGATATAATGATCTCATAAAATGCAAGAACTTCACTCTGTCATGAATTAAAGTAGTGTTTTCATGTTGAATCACGGTCAGTAAAAGGAATGATGCTTTCTTTCCTCTGTAAGACCTGTATTCAAGTTCTGTTCTGCTATTGAGTTGCTGCATAAACCTACCCATATTTTTGTCCACATCTGTTAGGGAGACAGAAATACAGACAGAGAAGGAGGAAAGTTAAACTGCATAGTCCTTAAGGCCCATTAATCCTTTTATAAGGTTTCTTTATATTTTATATTCTAAATAGTCTATTCCTAACCTGGAAACGGTGGGCAGAAAGAGAAAGATAATAGGCTGCATCGGCGATTTCTTTACGAGGTGACTCCCTACTTCTTTTCGTTTGACTGCCTCTCAAAGAAGAAAACAGAAGTGTTCATTCATTTATTCATTTAATTTATCCATTTGTCATTCAATAAAAGTTTATTGTTCAGTTTGTCTGTATTGGGCACTTTGATAGGTATTAAGAATGCAGTGATGAGCAGGACAGTACTAAAAGTAAGTTAACTCCCTTGCTATGGCTTCATTCAGAAACAGTACACAAGATTCCACCTGACAGCCAGGAGCTTGCCTTTGATACATAGCTTGTTGTTTTTACAATTTTAATTTGGAAGAAAATTTCAGTAAGATTTTTGGGCTGATAAATTTAAGGCTATTGAGTACTTGAAATGTGACTTACGAACCTGAGGATCTGAATTTTAAATTTAAATTTTAATTGGTTAATTTAAGTAGCCACATTTGCCTAATGGCTACCGTATGGGACAACACAGTGTATCTAAACAACAAGCTCATTTGGAATAACAGATTGCACTTTGA